ATTAAGGCCTGACTCACAGATTTGACATCAGTTTGGCATACATCTGCTACTTTTGGCCACTGGGTAGAATAACCTCCCCAGGTGAGGACATATTGTTTGCTGAAGATACTGGGTATCTTCAGACAGACTGGACTCACAATATCCACCATTCGCCTTTGGAAGGGTCCCGTATTAACAGTAGGCTGCAAAGGGGCTTTATTCTTATCAGAACAGTACTCCATGTGCTGGCATATGTCACAGAATTTCATATAGGCAGATACATCTCGTTCACTTGGGTAGTAATGAGCCAGATTTGGCAGCCTCAGGCAAAACCAGGTCAACCCCATGAGCTCAGAATAAGGGTCATAAGCAACTCTGTACCCTTAAGGAAATACTGTCTGCATAGAATTTCCATTTTTTATATATTGTGGCTCTCAGTATTCCTTGGGGGGGTATCAGCCCCACTAAGTAGACCAAACCCAGGCAATCAGCTCCAGGAAGGCTAAAACTTCTTTTATTGACATTGGAAGTAATAGCAGAAACTTGCAAGTCTGATTGTGCTGTACCTCCCCCTTCCCCTTATGCTTCAGTGAATTAGGGAGGCACCTCCTTGAGCCACTTCTGAATGTTATCTTGTTCTAGACTTAAAAAGAATACTTCAGCTGCTTACTTTCTACAGGGGATAAAACACTTTCTGATAATTCCTGGATTGTTGTGTCTCCCGGAAGGCCTTCATCCCAGCCATGCCGTTGCTAGTTGGTCTTGGTCTGTGGATCAGATTCAGAGTGTGGGCGGGGGTAACCAGTGTAAATCCCATTGGGTTGCTGTCCCCTGAATCCTTATTTTCAGAGTCAAGGAGAGTTGTCACTGGAAACCCTGCCAGATCAGTTGTGGTTGTTCTTCCTGCAGTTGAGGGGGTGTCAGCCCTACAAAGTAGACCAGATCAAGAAATCGACTCCATAGGAAGATTATAACTCTACTTTATTGAGTTAGGCTATAGTAAGAGAATCTTCCAAGTCTGCTTGTGTTTTACTTTCCCTCCCTCTTATACCCCATTGAGTCAGGGAGGAGCCAGCCTGAGTCTCTTTCTAGTACTTTATCCTTTCCCAGGACTTGAGGAATGCTTCTGCCCTCGTTTCTGTAACAGCTTCTGAACATTTCCTTTAAGGCATTCTCCATGACTCTCTGCAGGGGGACACTTAGACATATTTATGAGTTAATGATAACGGGTAAAAAAAGAGATTTGGGTGTGAATTTGGTCATCTGTTTCCTTCCCTTTTTCTTCTTCTTGAAAATAAAAGAAGGGGAAAAATTGCACAATTCTAGCTTTAATGAGATGGATATTGGATTCAAAGAAACTTGTAAGAAAGGGGAAAGAAAGAAATGAATATCCACTTTGAAATAAACTTCCCAACCAAGAGAAAAGAAGAAGAAAAACCCTTCATATTCATTTAGGCTCACTCTTTTTGTTTGAATTGCTGCTTTCCACAACATGTGTTTGCAGAGTTACACACAGGGTTGTGGTGGTTTGGCCTCCATGACATCCACAAGTGGGTTCTCTAAGTCTTCCTCCCACAATCCCCATTGTTGAAGCCTCCCATAATCCATGAGGTGTGGTCTCTCTGGTTGTTATTGCCACCATTCTGTACATAGACATTTCCTCTCTGCATCTTTCTCTCAGAAGGCAGTATACAGGACTGCTACTTTCTCCTCTTGCCCGTCGGTAGCTAACAATGAGTTGTAGGCTCAGTTCTCTGGCAAAATGAGTGCATGGGTTTCAGAAAGAAGATATAAGTTGTTATGTACTGTATGTTTAGATATGCTAATTGTCCAGCTCTTCTCCAGGGCAAGATGTGTTTCTTACAAATGGAGGGATTCAGATGCCACAGCAAAACACACAGAGACACACACACATACCCCTTTAGGCAGCAAACTATAAAGCTAGGCATTGACACTTGATTGGGAGATGTTTGTCTAAAACAGTGATTTGTTTATCTGACTGAGCTTTTTTCTCTGTTTTAGGTGAAAGAACTTTTAGGGAAGGTGTTGCACATCCTGTCAGAGAAAAATATGTAAGTAAAATGTGCATATACTTTTCTTTTAAAAAGCATTCATTTAGAACATGCCTCACTGAAGTAAACAATAGAAAAATTGATGGTGAATTATTTTTTGTAGCTTATTTTGTCAAGCTGACAATGGTAATTCAGTGGATATCATAACTAGATCTGCTCAGGTATTTGAGGAGGTACTTCACTTAATCAGGTATTGGAATGAACAGCTGATGTGTGTGCAGTTTCTAGACAAAACATACCCAGAAGCCGCCATTTGCAAAACTGACCTGCTGACCAAAAGTGTGACCCCGCCTTATGAGGCAAAATGGCAGACTTCTACCATGGCCCTCGCTGTCTCAAGGTAGCGTGATGGCTCTGTGCAAGATAAAAGTGTTCTGTCAAGTGGGTTGCTCATGATCCACAAACTACTAGTCATCAAAGATTCCATATTATTTTAATAACCATAAATACTAGTGGATAAAAATGTTTTAAGAGAAGTTACAAAGATTTATTTTTTTATTTACCAACATTAGCATGCCACCTCCATGTACGACAATGTCATGATTAGTATGTCACAGTTAGGATACTAGAGGAGGAGAATTGGAGACCATCTAGAACAAAGTGGGAAGTGGTTTTGAGGAAGGGAGAAACATAAAATTGGCCTCACTCTCCCTCCGGTTGGAATCTTTTCAAATCTTAGTCCCTTCCATAGACAAAGAGAGTCAGAAGCATTTTCAGCCTCAGGCATCATTGTGTTGTGTGATCATGCACAACAGCCTGGGTACACAAAAATATTACCAGAATATTAAATGTTTCAGTCATCTTTTGTGGAGCCTCTCCAGAGTCATTCTGGTGCCCCTGGGTGCCATGTAGCCACCTGCTGTCTCAGTGTTTTTTTCATTTAATAAATTTAAGAAATGAAAGAACCTCTGGTTTTGCTCTTCGTCGAAGCTGATCTAATCATGCATCTGCTTTTCATTGATCAACCTATGCAATTCCAAACCAGTATTGTGCAAAAAAACACCAGACGTGTGCCAGAAAACGTGCTTATAAAAAGAACCCATTGAACTGCAGAGAATGTTTGTTGTAATTTAAATGAATGCATTTTGTAGTCATTTACAATTTTCTATCTGTGATGGGGGTATCTCTCTGATTTGGGAAGGTAAGCTGTAATGTCAAACCTGCTTTTGATCTCATTCTGTGACAAAGTTGCTTAGGAAAGGTTATTTAATATCTCTATTCTAGTTACAGAGTACAGGTAGTCCTTGACTTATGACCACTCATGTCAGTGAACATTCAGAATTAGGACGGTGCTGGATGAGGGGGACTTGCAACCAGTCTGCGAAGTTGCGACCATTGTAATCTGGGCACCTGGCTCGCAATTACGATGTCACAGCAAGCCATAGTCACATGAACACCATTTGCAACCTTCCCTGCTGGCTTCCCACAAGCAAAGTCAATGGGGAAGCTGCCAGGGAAGGTTGCAAGTTGCTCCTGTAAGTCGCTTCCACTGCCCTTGCCGGCCCTCCCATGCTTCCCAGCACTTCCCTGCAGCATCCCCCCCCATTGGCCCATGCTCCTTACCTGGAACTCCCACCTCTTCCCACTTAACGACCCATGCAATCCTGGGGTTGTGATAGCAACCAGGACTGCTGTCACTAAGCAGTGTGGTCACGTGATGTTGCACGTTATGATAGCATTGCTTAGCGATGGCAACCCCAGTCCCAATTGCTGTCATAATCCCAGGACTACCTGTATTTTGCTAGGCCTCTGTTTTAGGCTTAACTTTGATAGTAGGCAGTTCTCCAGTCCTGAAACATATTTGGAATTTTGTGAGTAGTGTTTGCATTCACAAAATGGCTTCTAAAGAAGAACTCCTAGTTTGCAAAATGAGTGCAATGATGGGGTGCCATGTACTTAAGTATCCTAATATTGGTACTATTAGGAGATACATGGCAAGGCAAAGTATTATACGGCCAGTACACAAAAAAAGATC